AGCCGCGCTACTAACACGGTATTCACTGAAATTAGTATGCGGATTTTTATACACTTTTTTAATTTATTTTTAAGTGTACCTATTTTTGTAGCATACGTGCTCGTTTGCACTATTTTTTGGCGAAGTGCTGCTACCTTTACTTGTTTTTTGCAAACTATGCTTTAAATTTATGTGAGCAATAATCTGTCCCCTGTAGAAAATGAGGGTAAAAAGAGCATTGGCGCGACACAGCGAGAGAAGGCAGGACAACACCAAACTTGAGTGGAAAAAAGAAAGGCTTTATCGGAAGAAAAAAGGGGAAAAATTGGGTTTAAAAAATCGTTGCAAAAAACAGTGATTTTTGTGAGGACTTAACTCGTGGCAGTAAAGTTCGTTCGTATAACAGTTCTTCTCATTTTTGTTGCAATGTCGGAATATATTCGCCTTCAGGTTGAAGAGAGATTCAGTTTTCGGATATTTTGCTGCAACTGTTGGGACAACCTCGTTCCTATGTTGTATTCTTGGCCGCTCCATTTTCGGACACCATGTGGTTGCTGGTTGAGTTTTACGGAGCTAAATTAATCTGACTCGTTGGTGGCACAGGAAAAAAGAGGCCGTCATAGGCTCCTCTCAGCTGACCCCAGGACCCGGTTATAAAATACCCTACAAAGGGAGGCAATTCATTTATCTATATAATATTTTCAATATTATCTTTGGTTGACTTTTACTTCTTGAATTTCTTTGCAGCTGTAATTAAATTCTGTTTTATCCTAACATTGAAGTCTTGAGTTATACTTAATTATTAACCGTGCGTCACAAAATATTAGGTTGGTGCAAAAATAATGTCGTCTTTTGACGTTCAACTTAACGTCAAAAAACGACATTATTTTTGCACCAACCTAATAACTAAACTTATCATCTGATTTTTGATGAACAAAGCGCGCAGCAGAATCAGACCGGAAATAAAAGAATAACAGCGCGGAAACGTTAACGACACTGGAAAAAGGAATGCGATATTTATGCTCAAAATTATAACAGAAACAGTCGTGCCAATGCAATAATATTAATAATGTAATAAAGCAATAATAAAAGAATTCTAGATTTTGGTTGTGTTACGTCAAGATTATAATGGTTCTGTTTGTGTTAACTGATATGTAAATTAAACAAACTCACATGGAAGAAGACGAATTAACAACGATGGCCATTCGATCAGGTATCGGCAAGATGAGCAAGTTAGGAGTAAAATTTTACTTTAGATGAAAATTTTAATTTGTTTTAATCAATTGCATGAAAACTGTAATTCAAAATTTGCAATTACAGTTAAAGAAATATAATTCAGGCAAAATAATAGATGACCTATTTTTCTCACCAAATGATCACCAAAATGAATGTTTATGTTCCCAGGCAATACCGAATATCCACCGCCATATATATATATATATATATATATATATATATATATATATATATATATATATATATATATATATATATATATCATAAAGAATACATATTTAACTGTCAATAAATAGCATAATTGAAAAAAGACATATTTCGGTCTATCCATATTTCAACTTAGTGTTTTCGTATGTATGGAAAAAATTGAAATTGTCGAAAATATAAGCTGCACACTCTTTTATATATATATATATATATATATATATATGTATATATATACATGTTTCGTTAAAAACGATATACAAGGTACTAGAGTTAAGCTTTTTTTTTAATTTTTCTTGTGTTCGAACAAGAGCTTTCTTTTCGGGACAAAGAGTGTTAAAAACTGTCCAAATGTTTTATAGTTTCGAGCTCTATACCTTTAGCCATTATCAAGGATGATTCGATTTTTCAGTTTGAGTGTGTGCATTATATGTATGCATTTAGTGTGTTGTAGAGATGTTTTTAATTTTCGAATACGGTTAGAACGTCGTGGCCTTGTTCGTAGTTAATATTGTTAAGAGTTGGCGTTTTCTATTTTATTATTAAAGCTTTCCATTATTTTTAATTTTTTACAAGTGGATCAAGTTATTGTATTTGTGTTTTCTACTAGTATGTTTCTAATGGAGTCTGATAAGTTTGTGTGTGTGTTTAAATGGGTTCTAAAAGAGCTATGATCAGATAGGTGTAACGTAAGGCGTCTGGATAAGCATGGGGTTGTGTAACCGATGTAATTACTTATGAGTCCGGTTTGATCAGGAACACAGTTCATTAAGGGGCATTTGAACTCATAGATAATGTTCGTTCGTTGCAATTGTGACTTAACTGGTGTGTTGTTATTTTTTAGGATACGGTTAACTCTCTTAAATTTTTTATAATAGATAAGTAATTTGATTTTTCTTAATTCAGGTCAGTTGTGTATTTCTTTATATGTTTTAGTGAAGATATATATATATATATATATATATATATATATATATATATATATATATATATATATATCATGTACATTTAGGTAGAAGGAATTCATTTTAACAAGGTTTGTTAAATGCAACCGATAAGGTATGAATTTTTATTATTTTCAATTTTTTCTATTTTCAAATAAGATATGGTACATTAAAATCATAATTCTGGATACACTCTCTGAAATTCATGCATTATTTCTTTATTTTTGGGCCATTTCAGTCATTATCAAGAACAGAGAGTTATCAGCGTGGCAGACAAGAATTCGTTCACACACACACACACACACATATATATATATATATATATATATATATATATATATATGAAATTGTAGCCTCTCAATATATATAATGTTTATCAATAGAAACAGAAGGAAAAGTTATCTTTGTGTTTCATCCTTTAAGCGACTATGTCAATGCAAAAGGCTTGATAAAGTCCCTAAGTTTTCATATTGGTTTATTCTTATCTGAAAGATTATATATATATATATATATATATATATATATATATATATATATATACCATTGTTCAGCGGTATATAAATAGTCGTGCAAAAACACAACATATATGACATGATGAAACAGACTGTCGTATCTCAGTGTTGACCTCAGTAGTGTCCATTTATATATATATATATATATATATATATATATATATATATATATATATATATATATATATATATATATATATGTATGTGTGTGTGTGTGTGTGTATATATATATATATATATATATATATATATATAGCGGATGTAACTGCAAAATTGTCCAAGTGTTAGATTAAACTCTGAACTGTTTTATCTTACTGGAATTCTCCGCGTTTTGTTTTTTTAAAGACTATTGGATTCGACTTTGTAAAATAAGAATGTATAATTACACTCCAGAAGAATCGTGATGAAATTGCTCATAAACGAAAATAACATCATCATTAATTAATCATAGCTAAGGATCGGAAACTCGTGAAGGCTTGAAATAAAGTTCCAATACATATATACACACAGGCACATACACACAAACCCCCATATATATATATATATATATATATATATATATATATATATATATATATATATATATATATGTGTGTGTGTATATTATTATAAAATCATATTCCTACTTCCCAAGATGATCTTCGCCTTCTAACTTTCTAACGTTCTGTCCTGGAGTAACAAGGTGCTTAACACTTTTCACGTGCGATTTCATTTTCAAATCTTTTTTCACTGCTATTTCGACTGTCTTAGCTGAAACTCCTCTCTCACTTGCTAAACGTTTTATGAATTGAGTTGGATCTTTTCTAATTGATGACATTAGCTGTAATTTATCTCATTAGCTCTAATTTGAAATGATTATCCCTCTTCCTGTTGTGACCTCCTTATCCAGTTTTCCTCTTTACTGTTCCCTCTTTTTTAATCTTATTCACCGTTCTTTTGATGCCTCTTGAATTGACTTTGAAGATGGAAGCCAGAGTATGAATGTTGGTACCATTACTTGAAGGCCTGAATGATCTTTTTCCTCTTACTATTGCTCAATTAGGAAGACAGTAGGTCTGACATCAAACAATTTTAACCAGTTCTCTTTCTGAATATTGGTCCTTACGAAAAATGATGTCAAGTTGGCTAAATATCTTGTTTAAATTCCTGGCAAAAAGAAACTCAGTTTTCTTTTCTTTTTTTTTTTTAGATATTAAACATTTTGCGGGACGGATAGTTGTGCTGTTATACGATTTGGACAATTTTGCTATTACATCGAGTATATAATAGTCACTCTATGGTTTTGTGTTGTCTTTTTTTTTTTTTTTTTTTTGCTTATTTGTTTTTTTACTCAAGCGAAAACTGTATCTCCTCCATCCCCCAGGATTTACGACCTGACGTTAACTGAGAATCTTTGAGGATGCGTAGGCCGTCCTTCTGCAACCAGTATTCATTTTACACATTGAGTTTCTTTATTTTTCCCCATTTTACATAGTGGCGAAGCGTCTCCGAATTTCCCACGACGGAAAGACAGGGCTGGGTCACGTGATTATTGATTGTTTGTAGGTTTTATTGCCAGGAGCCTCGACTTTATTTAGCATTCTTTCACATACCTAACTGGCGAGCATAAATTTAAATCTCAGATCGCGAAATAATTATGTCAAGATACTTATTCTTAGCTTTGGACAAGGAAGTAATAACGGGGTATGAAAAAAAAAAGGTTCCTTTTTGCTTTAGCTATAAGTTTTCGATTAGGAAAAAATTGGATCGAATGGAAAATAAGGCATGTCCGCCGGCTATTTTCAAATCTCGTATCTCGCGAGAACGTGAGTTCATTCGTTATTGTCCAGTACTTTCTGATTCGAAATTAGGAGGCGATTTAAGTGATCGGAACCTTTTGGTTTAATGCACATCGTCCATTTTGTTTTTTGTTTTTTTAAGAATTTCAATCAATTTCTGGAATTAAGAATTGCAATGATATATTATTCACAATTTTCAGAGAAGTAATCTTTTCTCGTATCTTCTTTTACTTACAGAGTTCTCTCTTTATCTGTTACCATCGAACTGGCTTTGTTTCCTTTTTTTATTTAATTTTCCATAGATCATTCTCATTTTTTTTTTAATTTCCTTCATTCTCTTGTTTTACGGTCGATAAGATATTCAGGTATAGAAGTCTATCACTCATTCCATAAATAAAGAAAGAAATAATGAAAGAAAGAAAGAATGGATAGATGGGTGTATGAATGAATAAACGTACCAAACGTCTGCCAATCGGAAGACTGTTGAGCGTCAATTTGTCAGTATCGCGACGTGCCTACAAATAAATTTCTCTGAAATGTAGGATTTGCCGAGAGCTGAACGTCGACTGTTGCAAACACAGGACGAAAAAATAAAAGGAAGGAAAGAAAAGAAAAACATATGTGTGATAACAAAAATTTGACAAGACAAAAAAGAAAAAAGAAAGAAAAGAAAGCAAGAAATAATTGAAAAAGAAAGAAAGAAAGAAAGAAAGAAAGAAAGAAAGAAAGAAAGAAAGAAAGAAAGAAAGAAAGAAAAGTCACGGTTTTTCAATAAAGGATTTTAGAAAAAAGAGAAACTAATCCTAAAAATAGAACTTAGAATTCAGGTATAGAACTCGATCACTCATTCCATAAAGAAAGAAAGAAATTTGCCGAGAGCCGAACGTTGACTGTTGCAAACACAGGACGATAAAATAAAAGAAAGGAAAGAAAAGAAAAATATATGTGTGATAACAAAAATTTGACAAGAAAAAAAGAAAGAAAGAAAGAAAGAAATAAAGAAAAGAAGGAAAGAAAGAAATAATTGAAAAATAGAACGAAAAGAGAAATAAAGAAAGAAAATTCAAGTCAGATAGAAAAAGAGAGTAAATGTAAGTACATGTTAATGGAATAAAGAAAAAAAGAGAGAGAGAAAAAGGAAAGAAAAAGAAAGAAAGAAAGAAAGAAAGAAAGAAAGAAAGAAAGAAAGAAAGAAAGAAAAAAAAGCAAATTCATAGCCAAGAAGAATGAATTAGGGAATATATGAAAAATATAAGATTGATTGAAAAAAGAAAGAAAGAAAGAAAGAAAGAAAGAAAAGAAAGAAAGAAAGAAAGAAAGAAAGAAAGAAAGAAAGATTTAGATAAAGAAAAGGAAAAATTGAAAGAAGAAAATATCAGCAAAGATAAAGGAGGAAAGAAAAGTAAAGAAATATATTGGAGATGAAAATCATAAAAGAAGAAAAAAGAAAGAAAACCAATAAAAATTTATATTTCCGAAAGAAAAAATAAGAAAACAAAACTAATGGAAGAAAGGAAAAAAAGAAAGAAGAAAGGGGAAGGAGTCAATGAAAAAGAAAGAAAAACACGGTGTAAAATAACGGTGAGAAAATGAATAATAGGAAAGAGAGGAGAAGGAAGGAAGGAAAGCATGAAACAGACAAGGAAGAAAATTGTAAGGAATGACTGAGAGGTATGCTGAATGAAAATAAAAGAAAAAAGAAGATAATGAAGAATAGTATGAAAAAGAAAATATAAAAAAATAATCAAGAAAAGGAATAAAGAAAAGAGAAAATGAAGGAAAAAGAAAGAAAAAAGAAAATCAAGATTAAAAGAAGAAAAGGAAAAGAAGAAAGAAAATAAGATAAGTAAAGCTTATTATGAAGAAAAACTCAAAGGAGGAATAATGAAAGAAAATAAATGTGAAATGAGGGACAGGAAGAAGAATAGAAAATGGAATGAAACGAACGAAGAAAAATGAAAAGAAAGAAAAAGAAGAAAAATTGAATTAAAGGAAAGAGGAAATAAAAGAGAAAGGAAAGAAGGAAAAGACAAAATAAGGAAGAATATCGAAAGAATGGCGAAAGAAAGACTAAAAGAAAAAAAAGGAAGAAAAGACATCAGAAAGAAGAACTGAAAACGATAGGAAAAGAAGAAAATCTGGAAAGGAAAGACAAAAGAAAAAAAGAAAGAAGAAAGGAATATAAATTAGTAAGGAAAGGAAAGCAAATAAGGTACAAAAGAAAAGAAAGACGAATCGATGAAAGAAACTGGAAAGACCGTAAAGAAGGAAGAAAATAACAAGTTAGGAAAAATGATTAGAAGAAAAAATTAGCAAACTGACTGAAGAAAAGAATGAAGAAAAGAAAATTTATGGGAATGAAGGAAGAATAGAAAAACGAAAAATATGAAAGGCAGGAAGAAAAAAGGATATAAAAGAAGAAACAAATTAAAAAATAAAATCAGAAAAAGAAGAAAAAAGTCAGAAGCAAATATAAAAGAAAAAAAAAGAATAATGAAAAGAGAAAAGAAAATGGTGGACAGGCAGGAAAGAAAAAAAAAAGACCCCATAAAAAAATAAGTCAATTTGAAGGAAGAGAAAAAGTAATAACAGAAAGGAAAGAAAAGAATAATAGAAGAAAAGGAAATATGATGGAAGGGAAAGAATGAAGAAATGAAAGGACGAAAAAAAAATGATAGAAATAAAGGAAACATGAAGAACGGGAACGAAAGGAAAAAAAAGAAAGAAAAGAGAAGAATAAAAGAAAAAGAAAAGAATTAAGTGATAAGAGAAAAAATAGCTAGCTGAAAGAAAAGTAGACATATAAAAAGAAAGGATAGCAAGAATGAAAATGAACAGAAAAGAAAGAACAAAAAGAAGAAAATCTGAAAGAAATAAAGAAGAAGAATCAAATGACATTACGAAGAATAGAAAAAAATGAAAAAGAGGAAAAATGAAGGAATAAAAGAAAAAAAAACAAGCGAGTCTCAAAGATAGAAAAGAAGGAAGAAATGAAAAACTATTAAAAGGAAAGCACATCTGGCATAGGGGAAAGAGTAAAAATGAAAACGAAAGAAAAGAAGAAGAAAAGAAAATCTAATTGAAGAGAAAGAAGGAAAAAGTGACAAAAAAGAAAAAGAATAATACATGTAAAAGAAAGCTGACGTAAGGAAAGCAGAAAAAAGCAAAAAGGGAGGGAAAGAATAAGGAAAGAAAAGGAAATATGTAGAGGGGGGGACGAAAGGAAAAAAAGAAAGAATGAGAAAGAATAAAGAATAAAAGAAAAAGAAATCTCATAAAAGGAAAAAAAGACGAAAATAAAATTGATGACAAAAAGGGATTAAAAAGAAAAGAGAAAAATAGCGAAAAAAGAAAGTGAAAAAAAAACAATGTAGCAGTAAAGCAGGAATAGAATGTAATTGACATCATGAAAAATAAGAAAAAGTTTAAAAGGAAAATAATCCGAAAGATTTTAATGGAGTCGACGTCATGCAGAAAAGGTAAAGTGGATGGGACGGAGATCAGAAAGAAGTGACTTGAATAATGGAATGTAATCGCTGGAATAATTTTTTAAAAATAGGTCGATGAAAAAACCGAAAAGACAGATTGAAAATGGAAAGAGAAGACGATTAAATAGAAAGAAAGAAAAAAAGAAAGAAAGAAAGAAAGAAAGAAAGAAAGAAGGAAAGAATGGGTCGATGAAAAAAATGTAAAAGACCGTTTGAAAATATAAAGATGATTAAAAAGAAAGAAAGAAGAAAGGAAAGAATGGGTCGATGAAAAAAATGTAAAAGACCGTTTGAAAATGGAAAGACGATTAAAAAGAATGAAAGAAATAAGGGGAGGAAGGAAGAAGGAAGGAAAAAAGAAAGAGAGAATGAAAGAAAGACAAGAAAAATAGGTCAATTAAAATGTAAAAGACCGTTTGAAAATGAAAAGAGGAGACGAAAAAAATGAAGGAAAGAAAGAAAGGAAGAAAGAAAGGAGGAGACGAAAAAAAGAAGGAAGGAAGGAAAAATATAGGTCGATCAAAAAATGTAGACCGTTTGGAAATGGAAAGAGGATTAAAAAGAAGGAAAGAAATAAAAGAAAGGTAGGAAAGGATGAGGGAAGGAAAGAAAGAAAGCGAAAATAAAAGAAAGACAAGAAAAATAGGTCAATTAAAATTGTAAAAGACCGTTTGAAAATGGAAAGAGAAGACGATTAAAATAAAGGAAAGAAAGAAAGGAAGAAAGAAAGGACGGAAAGAAAGAAAGAATGAAAGAAAGAAAGAATGTTTGAAAATGAAAAGAGAAGACGATTAAAAAAAAAAGGAAAGAAAGAAAGGAAGGAAGGCCGAAAAGAAAGAAAGAATGTAAAAAAAAAATGTTTGAAAATCGAAAGAGAAGACGATTAAAAAGAATGGAAGAAAGAGAAAGGAAGAAATAGGGAATAGAAAGAATGAAAAAAAAGAAGATACCTGAAGGAAGCGAAGGGAAATTTCGAAAGAAAGAAAGAAAGAAAGAAAGAAAAAAAGAAAGAAAGAAAAACTGAATGAATGAAAGAAAGGGTACTAGTAAGAACCAAAGGAAAACAAGTACGAATGAATGAAATCAAAGAAGGACAGGTAAAAGACTATATAAATAGTGCAAAAATAGAAAGATGAGCGAAAGTAAACGAAACACAGCGAAAACGAAACTAGACGAAAGAAAATCAGAAAGAATGAAATAGCGAAGGAAGATGACAAAAAAAAAGATTGAAGCAAAACCCTAAGAAATAATGAAGGACGAAAAATGAAAGACGAAACGAAGAGCGGACGGAGGAATGAGCTGAAACACCATGTTGAGTAATGAGGCAGTCAGTGTGTCGGCAATGGCGTTGAGTAAAACACTTATCTCCTTGCACGTGTCACTCAGACTTGTCGTTAGCAGCGCTAATGCCGATCATCACCATTGTTCTGCTGACAGGCGCCCTCGACTTTCTTGCTGTCCACCCTTCGATCTCCCGGTTCTTTTTTCACATCTACCCCTCCTCAGGCCTCACCCCGTCAAACTTCATTCCATCAATGAAGCTTACAGCAATATCGCTTAATAAAATATACTGCTACGGCTCAATCGATTTGTACAAACTTACCACACAAACACACACATACACAACAACGCACACACAAACAATCACACACAAGCACACACGTACAATAAAAGTGATGGCAACCCAATTCGCGAAGATGTACGCCAGTAGTGAGACGAGAGAATGATGAAAAGTTCTCGGCCCGACCAAGGCGAGATTCCCTAAAATTTGATATCTGGTCATCTTGTCGCAATTTGGGAAGTGGGTCGGGTCAAAGAATTTTCGCTACCGCCTCATATATAGATATTTACCCCTGTATTTAATCTTAGTGTTCTCTCTCTCTCTCTCTATCTCTCTCTCTCTCTCTCTCTCTCTCTCTCTCTCTCTCCCTCTCGATCTAATAATGTGCTGTATGTGTCTCTCTCTTTCTCTCACTTTTTTCTTCCCCTCAGTGTCTATATCTGACTACGATCGAATTTCGTTCTCTGTGTGTGAATCTCAGTTTCTGTCTCTCTCACTCTCTCTCTCTTTCTCTCCCTCCCTATGTGTCTATCTCTCTGTCTCTACATCGAATATTGTTCTCTGCATGTGTGTGTCTCGACCACCCTCTCTGTGTCTTTCTTTTCCTGTCACTCTCTCACCTTTTCTCTCTCTCTTTATATATATATATATATATATATATATATATATATATATATATATATATATATATATATATATAGGGTGTATCGAAAATAAAATAACAATTGTTTGTGGGGGGGGGTTCCTCACACCAAAAACAAAGACAAAAGTCCATATAAACATTTGTCCGCAAATCCCTTCTTTTTGAGTTATTTAGTTTAAAGAAAGTTTACAGTAGATGACGCTGTGTTGCCTTAAGGACTAGGTTACATTTGCCATTTGTGTATATTTGTGGCTAGTCTCTCTTCAACGTTTAACGTAGGTAGTAGTGAGTTAACTAACAAGTGTTTCGTTTAACAATAGCAGGATATTCATATCGTGTGCAGGCAGATATGACTTTATATACGGCTGCAAAAATGGTAATGGACTCGAGGCTGCACGGCTATATCAGATTGCGTTTCCCGACCGAAGGACAGCCGAGTCTTGCAAACTTTGCTGCTGTTTATTGTCGCATTGCTGTGACAGGATCCGTGGGCCAACAAACTATGGATCGAGGAAGACCGAGATCCTCTCGTACACCTGACCACAAAGAACACAACGATGGCCTTTTGAACATATGTTTATATGGACATTTTACTATATTTCGGTGTGAAGAAACTTCCCCAAAAATTTGTAAAGTATTTTTGACACATCATATATATATATATATATATATATATATATATATATATATATAGAGAGAGAGAGAGAGAGAGAGAGAATTAATTTGAGTTGTTTATCACTTAGCTGAGTGGTGTTGGTTCACTCATGCCTACTACGTTATTTCGTTAACACATCAAGTTAACATGTTCATTTTTCAGGACTTGTTGTCTTCTCTGTTACAATTTCTCAATTTTGCCGTATTTCTGTGCTTTGGTGTAATTTGATATCTTTTATAAGTGTGTGGTATTTCACTTTATGAGTGTGGTTTTATTTCTTAAGTAGTATGGGGTTTCTAGAAATAACAGCAGAGAAGACAACAAGCCCTAAAGAGTGAACATGTTATCTTGATGTGCTCACGAAACTGCGTAGTAGGCATGTCTGTACCAACATCACACAGCTAAGTGATAAACTTCTCCAAATTTATTCTATGAACGCTCTACCCTAACTTTTGGTATCGAGACAAAAACTGCCTACCCAAAATGCTATTTTTACCTCGAAAAAGAACCCGTCATCCTGTTACTTAATACTATATATATATATATATATGTGTGTGTGTGTGTGTGTATTGTTATATTTAGTGGGTACAAGTGTTTGAGTAGATATCGTGATTCTTATGGGAATTTAAGTTCTCACAGCCCAAGGAAAGCATGTCATTGTAAAGATAAAAGCCACCTATCTGTTTTCCATTTTTAATCTGGGTAACAACTGTCAAGCCAATCGTACTTTACAACTAAGCGACGAGAAGCCACCGCAGCAAAGTCAGTTTCCTTTATCCTATTTAAGAAATGGCCATCTTTTGCTGTGACATTTCGAAGTCTACATCTGTCTATTTTAGTTTTCGTACCCGAAGTACTTCTTTTTTTAAATAATTCCCCATCATTTCTTATTAACTAGAAGGGAACATAATGATACTATCCCGAAGGTGGATGTCCTCACTATGTTAGCCAAAATTTTTTGAATGAATCTCCAAGGAATACCGCGAAATCGGATATCAGCTAGCGGACTTATGGAGTTTAATATCCTTAAAAGCGTAATTCACACAAAAAAGATTGTGTAAATTGCAACCGGCAGTAACGACAATTAATTGACCAATGAATGCTGAATGATTCCTGTATGGAAACTTTTAATTTCATTTTTACAATTACCACTAAAATATCCAATACAATATTTATAAACCAATCACACTCAATAAAGTACTTACATCTTGTGGAAAAATAAGTGAAATTACTTGCGCTTATGGGTCGGCCTTCAGATCTGGAGACTGAGTGGTTGATAGATTCTAGTTTATCAACGCGAGGCTGCTCCAAGGCACTGACTTTGTAGTTTTTTGTTACCGGAAGTGTGGGATGCGCAGGTCTGCTCTTTTGTTATTTTAGTTCTACCTTCTCTTCCCTTTATATATCTTTATTTTTTGAGGACATTACGCGAACAGAAACGTTTTGCGCGCTTTTCTCCCTATAATTTCATCCCTGTTTAAAATTGGGACGCGAGATTAGGCGTGTTTTGCAAAATGTCGAAAATTTCTTCGACTCAAGGATAATCAAAGTCGGTTCGGCAGTAAGTGATTACATGAGTAAGTGATTTTCGGGCCTCTGAGGGAGGGGGGGCTCATGTAATCACTTACTGCCGGACCGACATTGATTACCCTTGAGTCGAAGAAGAAAATTTCGACAATCTTCAAACACACCAATAAAGCCATAAAATACGAATCAGAAAGATTGTTTTATCATGACTTAGGCATATACCGCCAAAATATCGCACGGACGTAGTGGCAGACATACCACGTGACTTTTAGGGTCAATTAGGAAGAAATAAATAATTTAATTCTGGAGCTGATGTTCTTACAAAAAAGTATAAAACATACGAAATCCAGCCCCAAACAGGATACGCACAGATGTCACCAAGGTCCACGCCACTCTCGTTGATGATCTTCACGACCTCATTCACGTCTACATGGAAAAAGCGACAGCGCTGACGAACTAGAAAGTGACCGCTTCGGACTACGGCACCACAGTTCAGAGTAAGAACAAAATTCTAACTATCTCTGGTATCCTCTT